CAATGGTATATGTGTGCATGGAATAGTATATGTGTGCATGTAATGGTATATGTGTGCATGTAATGGTATATGTGTGTGGAATAGTATATGTGTGCATGTAATGGTATATGTGTGCATGTAATGGTATATGTGTGTGGAATAGTATATGTGTGCATGTAATGGTATATGTGTGCATGTAATGGTATATGTGTGTGGAATGGTATATGTGTGTGGAATGGTATATGTGTGCATGTAATGGTATATGTGTGCATGTAATGGTATATGTGTGCATGTAATGGTATATGTGTGTGGAATAGTATATGTGTGTGGAATAGTATATGTGTGCATGTAATGGTATATGTGTGCATGTAATGGTATATGTGTGCATGTAATGGTATATGTGTGTGGAATAGTATAAGCAACCTAAGATCTACATTATTTGGTGACATAAGCTGCATTTGTAATTTCACAATGATTGCCTCACAATGCTTATTGTATATGTGTGTGTGCACTCAACCCCTCATTCATAACAACATCTTTTTAACCCAAGCTCTGTTGAATTCTCTAAACCTTACTTAGTTTCAATGTGATATTTTGATGCTGTGTACAATTCCAGTTAATCGCATTTTTCATTTTTTCTTACAGTATTGTCAGATGAGGCAATGCCTGCGCTCATACAGAGTGCCCCTGTAGGTCCAGTGGCAGGTGGTATTATGGGATGTATTCTCGTGCTGGGTCTAATTATGTACGTCTATAGGCAGCATGTACAGCGGCTAAGACGTGCAGAGTTTTCACACACACCAGAGACGTCTGTACGTATGTCGCAATTGGATAATGAGAGGGACCATGATGAAGACCCGCCAGATGAACAAAGAACCGGTAAGTTAGATCATGTTCAGTATAAATATTAATGTGTGCTGCTCATTGCAACATGTGCTGTGTTGTGACATAAACTAATTCATTTTAAAACGTGCAAGTTCCAAAAACCACCATTATTCAATTTCAACATGTGTTGTGTATATTATGACGAAAATTAATCGTCACCATGGTTTTGAGTGTGTCCGCTGTGATTCATTTAGTCTGGCTCTATTATTTGGCTTATTTCTAATCTTCACTTTCACATTTCTCTCACTGTAGTTGGACACACAAATATCATCATAGCAACAATAGAACACCCGCCTCATTACGAACACAGACGACAGAGTGCCCGAATGTGGCGGGGAGGTGGTGCCGAGAGTGATCACGGCTACAGTACCATGACGCCACACGAAGACAGCGAGTACATAGAACCAGAGCCTCTTTCTGTGGAGAAAAATCTCATTGGCCCGCAGCCCACCAGCACTCCACAAACTGTGCTGCCATCAACTTCAGGAGCAACTTGTCACCAACTGCAAGCACAGGTTCAAGTTCACATGGTTGATATGTCATGTTAGTGTGCTTCAAAACACCCCACCAAATGGCTTGGATGGAAATGATTCCTTGACTGGTTTACTTTTGCTCCTTATTCTAACATCAAACAATTGAAATACGTAGTGAAAGAGTGTAATCGAACGATTGAAAGGGCTAAAGTGGAAAGTAACTGATGAACTATAACCAGTCGAGACCAGTTTCAAGCAGTCTGATCCACTTAAATATATCACCTGGATCAAACCAGTAAAATCCAGCTCCTCCAGCCATTCATATTTATATAAAAAATATACTTAAGAAATTCCTAATCCAATGTAAATATTATGATAGTGTATATTGAGAAAATATTGATAATTTTTTATACAGGGTAGATTTTAAAAAAAAAGTTAGACGATAGTTTATTTTTTCGACTTATTTATGCAATGTTACATTGTGATTGAAGAGCTCAGAATGGAAATGTTGTTTGGGAAAAAATTCATGACTTTATTTTGTTGATTTTTTTTTTTTTTTTTTCAATTTTGTGTCATGAATTGAGTATCATGGTGCATTGTTATCTGTAAGGGTCTTTGCATAATACTGCAGTGATCGGATCTGCAGTTTGGGGTATGGTTTTTAAAGATATTATCATGTTCCATATTCGGTGTTGTATTTGTTTGGACCTGTTGTTTGTTCTCGCACAAAATATTTTAACATGTACAGAAAATGTCTACCAGAAGGGATGTTTACGAGGAGAAGGAGGTTGTCATATGCTTCTTAGTAATGCTGATACAGCTCACACTGCAAAATAATATTCTCTATAACTCTTCTTATATTTGAATCTGTGGAAACACTTTTTCAGGTGGAAAAATTTTTCAATTTCAAAATTTTTTATAGTACAGATTTTATGGCATTTTTACTCAGAAACTGTTTTTATCATTGTCATTTCTCTGTAAACAAATTATATGCATGCGTTTCTTGTGGCTGGAAGTATGTATCACCCAAAACTGCTTTATTTCAGCGGCATTGCAGCGTTAACTTCCATATTAAGGATTTGGTCCTGCCGTCCGTGGATTCACCAATCAATGTTCCTTCAGTGGTTTTATATTTTGCTGTAAGACCATGACACTGGAAAGAAAATACGATTAACATCTGGGATCCATCTACAAATTTGTCTTTTGTGTTTTTGTTATTGTTTTTATTCTCAGGTGTTGCTATTAATTGTAAGAACCCCACCTATTATCTTCTGTTTACTTTTGAATTGTATATACCAGTAAAGCATTATGGGTAATAAAATAAATAGCCTAGCCATGTTTCAACTCCAGAGGGCAATCTGTTCTCTGCAATAAATGAAGTGAGCTATGTTGTGAATATATATGTTTTTTTTGTAGAAATCTTTGATACTTTTCTCTTTGTTTGATTTGTAGTCTTGTTTCTTTTTGTGGCCTTTGTTTGTAGGTATTTTCAGCATTTTGTACAAAATAACTTCACAAACCAACAAAAAATATGAAGATTGTCTTTGTTTTGTAATAAAACATTGTATGTAAATTTGATGTTGTATTGTTTATGTGTTTGCTAGTGAAATTGACACTTTCTTTCCATTGTCTGCTTTTATTACAATCGATTAGACTGTCGACAGTCTAATGTGTATCCTAGACATTCAAATGATGGGAAATGTTAAGCATTTCTAGCGAGGGACTCCATATTGGTTGTCTTGGCATTGCAATTTATTCACATCTATTACGTTTATACATAATATTAATAGTAATAGATTAATATTAGGTACGACTGACTGTTGACAGTCTAAGTTTCGATCAGTATCAATTGCAAAAAATGATGGCTCAAAATGGAAAGTAATTTTGGCTGATAGTACAACATTGATGCACTTACAGTAAAACATATCGATTGTGTACCTGTATGTTTCCTTGGCAACAAGATAACTATTTGATATTTTGTTGCATCACAGATTTTCAAAAAACATCTACTCTAAGAACATTAGAGGTTGTGTTTAGATACTATAATCACCAAACAAAACTGTTTGTAGTAAGTTTGACATGTGTCACGATTTTCTGTGTCCTTCACAGGAATTTTTAACAAAAAGCTGATGTGAATCCTACGAATGAGGGCACTTCATCTTCAATGTGTTGTATGCGTTCAGTCAATTTTCAAAACAATGTTTCAACTGTTCAATTCATATTACAATAAAGCACATCGCTGAAAATGTTAAAAAAAATAAATAGACCAGACACATAAACACCCAGGTTTCGAAATAAAATTTTAATTTAAGCGTCTTTGGACCACTAAATCATTTTGTCTCTGTTAAAAACAATCATACTCAAAATTCGCCATTTTTTTGTGACTGACATATGTAGCCCTCCTAACACTACATATGTTTATTAGCATAGGTCACCAAACAAAATGTTGAGATATGGTATGTTTTTGCCAACTATTCAAAATATGCATTTTTGTTACATTTTCTTGGTTGTTTTGTTGAAAAATTAGTATCCATATCTTTTTATTTCAAAATTTTAACATTACAGTAACTTAACCACTCTTGCTGGATTTCAAAGATCTCTGAGTA